TTATGTGTGAATATTTTATTTATATTATTAAGATTTATTTTTTTGCATTTGTTAATTACTTAAATAATTTAGTGGTTATTTCTTTTCATTAAACATAAGAGTTCTAAATTCAAGTCGCATGACGTTAGTGTAAGATGTGATAAAAGATAAGATAATTGTCTCTTATTGTGCAATAAAATAATTTTTTTTATTTCTTTTCTCTCTCCTCTAATGCCTCAATTTTTCTTTGTTAAAAAAATAAGAACATGAGTTACATAGAGATAATAATTTGTTTATTTATATTTACATGAGTTACAATAATTTTGTATCATTTTCTTTTATATGAGTATTAAGGAAGTTTTCCCATTGTTAAGTAATAATAAGGTGTTTTTCAAAGAGCCATATAAGGAACCATATTATTTTCTTTTATAAATTGAAGAAAAAAAAGGTAAAAAAGAGGATAGCTTGGTTTAATCAACACCAGCTCACGAGCCACCTCACCACACAAAACTGCTGTAAATGACGTGTCAAATCAAGATTGGTTCCTCTCAACAAAGAGTTTTTGACTATTCCTATATCGATACGGTAGGATTTTGACACCTGTCACTAAGATGGAGAAAATGGCAATAGTTACAATGTAGCTAGCTGGCTGGCTGGCTGGCTGGCTGGCTGCTGCGTCTAGTAAAGCGTCGTCTTCGCTGTTAACAGGCTGTCGGCCCATTCCGAAATCCACCGTTTATTGCCGGTAGCTACCGTTTGCCACACCACCGGCTGTCGGTGGCCTCAATTTCCGCATGTTCTTTCTTTAATTTTTAGTCCTGTTAATAAAGTAGATTACAACAATGCCCTTCTCTCTCTTTATAGCCATAATAAATATATAGTTAATAAAAGGAGCAAAACGTTTATTAAAACTTCAGTGTTTTTTTTTTTTTTTTTCAATTATATAATAAAAAATAAATCTTTTTATTTCTTAACTCAATTACCTTGTTACATATCATATAATTCAAATTTAAAATTTTATATTTTGAATAAAATAAAATTATTACTTAATAGCACCTAAGTTTTCATTTGGACATATAAGGAAATTACAATATTGAATGGAAAACAAATCTCCTACACTGAAGGTTATCTTTCCGTCTACCTATTCCTGTTTGGCAATAATCGTCCTAGAAAAACTTTTCACCGAAGTAATTTCATTCTCCTTTTCTTTATTTTTTGTTGATGTGATTTGATAAAGAACGTTTAACAATACGTAGAAAAACGGAAATTCCTCACCGCATGATGCTTTCTTTTCCAAGTTCCAACCGTAAAAGAGACGCAATAATCAATAGCACATTTCCCCAGAAGGATTAAAACCCAACACCAACATAACATATTAACAATCCTTCAATCCCTACATAGCGTGATTTGCTTACTCGGGCCGGGACAGGATTGAATTTGCTAGTATATTGTTGGGAGGGCAATATAAGTTATATAAAGTTGGCATGATCGGTCCAATGAATCAAAGATAACTTAGGAATAATATTACCAAGCTTCTATGGTCATGCTACCAATTCAACATATGGGCAGACAATACCTTCTTCCCTCAGCTCTCTACATGATTTTTTAACCTCACAACGTCCCATCTGCATTGGAACCAGTACTTCCTCCCCTCCTGCTCGCAGTTGTGTTCTTCAATATCTGCAAAAATATCAATAGAATCCTTGTCGAGTTAGCACCACTAACCTAAATCCTTAATTTGAGTGTGATACTAAACAATTAACTCTCCAATTTATCAGAAAAAGAAAAAGAAATTACTAATCCCTTTCTTAGCTAGTTCCCAATAGAGTTGATTCTTGCAACAAATGCTTGGACTGAAACCCAAACCAGAGCATGCTACGGGCCAGAACTTGTTTAAAATTTGAGATTCAAGTGGCCACAAACCTAACCTACCTCATTATCAGACCTTAACAAAAGGGCAACTGCAAAACCCCACATTAAGCACTGAACTAACTCCATGTTATCAATTGAGCTCCTAGACTATTTTTAAAGCAGATAAGCCTCTGAATCCCATGATCCATGCAATTTTGCCCTCTTCTATGTCTTTCTTTATCTGCAAAACTGCAACTTTGCAGTCTGCCGTTAAGAATAAGGCAAAATTGCATAGATCATTAGGTTCAAAAACTTATCTTCTTTAAAAAAGTCCAGGGGCTCAATTGAGAATATGGGGTCAATTCAGGGGCTCAACGTGGGGTTTTGCCAATGACAAATGCACCAAAGAGGAGATGGACAAGAAGTGACATTAACTCATACCTGAAGTTTTATGACACCCAAAACTAAACCAAATATCAGGCACCTAGTGGTGGTGGTCCTGTGGGGCTACATGACCATTCAATTCTTACAAAGATAAAATTTTGATAGAACTTGGATCTGATTATAGTGGTCCCTCGTCACTTCAAAATATATCTAATTCTTCAAAACCATCAAGTGAGGTTTCAAAATACTTCACGAAAATGAATTGACATCCCCTCAAAAATTTCCTTCCATACAAAGCACAATAATTCCTTGATGTAATGTTGATAATGATAGTGATAATGTAATGCCATGATGGAGATGGGGTTTAGCCATGTTATGGAATTCAAATCAAGCTTCTCATATATTCAACATAAGCATGTCAGTAAAGTTGCTCTCTCTAGGGAGGATATTAAACAATTCTCGTGCTCAACCTAAAATTAAGAAAACCTTCTCAATTTATTCATTATTTTCCCTATCCCATATTTCAATTTTTTTTTTTTTTTAAAAGACCAAGTCACACTAAAAGGCGTATATGTAATTATGTATACATATCCTAGGATTCGAGCAGCCGCTCAAAAAAAAAAAAAAAATCCTAGGATTCGAGCAGTACTTAGTCATTTCTATGAATTCAATGGGATAAAACAAAAGAATTCTAGTGAAATGAAAATGATATAAGATAGAAAGAACATTACTTGTCTAAGCATCTGATTCTCGTTTTGATAAGTGGAAAGACTCTCTTCAAGCTCAGAGTTCTTCTTCTCCAAGTCTTTAACTCTGGTCTCCAGCTCATTCAAGTAAGCCTTTTTCCTCTCCCTTGCTTGCTGCGCTGAAACTCTGTTCCTCAACAACCTTCACTCCACGTAAAACAGCACAGCTCAAACAAAAATCACACGAAAATGCTACTCCTCCCTATCTCAAAAAAAAAAAAAAAAAAAAAAAGCTTACCTCTTCAGGCGCTTGTTTTCCTTATCAGCTGGGCTCCGACCCCTCTTCCTCTGACCTACCCCAGATGGTTGAACCCGATCCGGACCGGCTACCGAACCGCCATCTCGACCGGCTGCCGAGGCTCCAGCTGCTTCGCCGGCCAGCTCCGGCACTCTCCGGATCTCTTCATCACTCTCCATACCTATGAGACAACCCTTTGTTGAGAAGAAAATCAAGACACAAATGTAACGGAAAGAATGGCGTTGATCTGGGAGATGGGACTTTCTCGGAAAAAAGTCAATCTCGAGAAAATAAAGAAGACCCATTACATAAAAGTCAAAAGCACGCAAAACCCATATTGTTACCTTAACGAGAAAACATCAAAACATCGCCTTTGACAGAAAACCCAAATGAGAAATTTCGGAGAAGTTCTGAAATCACAAAGACAAAAAAAACTCAAAATTTTTAAAAGCTTGGCGGTGACGATTTTTACCTTCTTTGATTTCAACTTGAAGAGCAGAGCTGGAAGATCTCTCGCTACTAGATGGGAGAGAACTGGCCGCTATTGAACTGTTTGCTTGTTCTTGCATTTTCTCGCTTACCAAACAGGGGAAGAATTAAAGAGGAGGATAATTTCTTTGGTATTTTTTTGAGAGAAGAAAAGAGCGGGATATTAATGTTAGAGAGTAATTCTGACAATACGAGTTTCAGATGGAATGGTAGCCGTTAGATTAGGGCGAAATCCAAGGGTTTGCAGTGGGTGAGCGTGGATGCTTGGGAGCCATGAGGAGGTTACTGAATCAAAGGTTTGTGGGGAGTAACGTGGAGAGATGGAAGCCGTTGGATTTAGATTTGATCGGACGGATGGCATAAATTTAGTATAGGTATGCAATTAATTGAAAAGGAAAATGATTTTTGAACAATTTTTTTATCTCATTTTTT